GGAGGGCGGGCCGCGGCCCGGGGCGGCGGTCAGTGCCCCTTCGGACCCCAGCAGGCGCCGCCCGAGGACGCCTGGTTTTCCGTTTTTCCTCGCGAGGGCCCCTTCTCAAGCCCTCGGGGTGACCGCCTCGGCGAAAGCACGGCGATTCGCGGAACACCACCCTGGGGGCTTGCGAGCTACGAAACTTGAGAAGCGGGGCCGGGTGGAAACACGCCGGCTCTTCCTGCCGCCTTCTGGACGCCCTCCCCGAGCGGGACGTTGTGCCGTCCGTCCGGCGGCTGACCGGCCGGTCCCTCGAAGGAGAACGTTGTCCCCTTGCCCTTTCTGCCCGTGGGGAGACCCTGCTCGCGCGCCCCAGGCGGAAGTGGGGGTCCTTCTGGGCAGCAGTGCTGTCACACGGAGTTGTTGTAACTTGCGTTGAGGCTGTGTACCAGTTGGCCAAAAGTGAATCATCGGCCAAGTTTAGGCAGTTGTGAAATATTTCAGTAGTTCTGATTGAAGATATACTGATTGTCAGCCTTCCAAATCTCTGGACTGGCTATGTGTTTTAAAAGATAAACTGCTTAAAAGATGTGAGATCAGTGTTGCTGGAAGAGACTGTTATGATAATTGACTTTAATACTTTTAAGTCTTGTTCAGATATTAAGGAAAACCTTTTTTTTAAATTTTAACTGCCTTGTTCCCTTTAGTAGGAGTGTAACCGTTACAGGTTTGCTAAAACGGTGCTTTTTTGGGGGGCGGGGTAGTACTGCGGATTGAACTCTTATCACGGAGCTACATCCCCAGACCTGTTACGTTAAGATAGGATCTTGCTAAATTGCCCAGGCAGGACTTAAACGTGCGGTCCTCCTGTTCCAGCCTCCCTAAGGGATGGAATTGTAGGCACCACCACACCTGGCTAGGACGGTGATCTTAAATTGGCTTTAATATAAATGTCTGGCAGCCTCCTCTCCATACCAGTGACTGTGATGGCTAGGCCTGCTGGCTTGATAAGAAACAGAAAGTAAAGCATTTCTGCAGGTCTGGTGAGCTATTAGACTAGAGAGTTTTGGGAAACTACATGAGTCTTCATCTGCCCGGGAGGTATAAGTTATAATACAAATAAGGCAAAAAACTTACACAGATTCAAAAGGTTGGTTTTCACTTTTTAAGACATAATTGTAAGAGAGGACATATAATAATGAGCTCATTATAAGTGGGGGAAGAATCTCTGATAAGATAAAATTGTTGTGGTACAGGATATAACGGGAATGTGATGATGGTAGGTGAATGAGTGAAGTATGGCTTTTAGGTGGAAAAAAGGAAGTCAAGGGAAAGCTGGTCACATGTTAGAGATGCTTTGTGTTTCATTGTATTTTTCAGTCATAGGAGTTGTATTCTGATTAAGTAGTAGATCAAGTTCCTCCTAAAATCTATCAGGGTAGCCATTATAGGCATGATGCTTCTTCAGAGCTTGCCAACTGATGAGGAAATGCCATATTATTAAAATGAAATTTAAAAATCTATGACTGTAACATCTGGCTGATTTTTTTGTAACATAATTGGGTAAACAGTTTCACTCAAGGCACATGGGTGGCATTTGGCAGAATGGTCTAATAGAATGCTCTAAGGCCTGAAACCTCTCTTCGTGAAAACTGTTTTTCATTAAGCTTTTTAAAACAAAGACTTCAGATCTGTAGATTTGGGCAGACATATAGAGGGACATTTGAGTTTTGGTTTTGTTTTTTCCTCATGCAAAAGACAGATTTTGGTAACTTCATGACAGCAAGAGAGTATCTTTTTAAAAAGTTGTTTTTGGGTCAGTACGGTTGCTGCCTGGCAAGCACAAGATCCAGAGTTTGATTCCTGGTGCCAAAAAAAAAGTTGTTGAGAGAAGGTCTCACTGTGTAGTTCAGCCTGGCCATAAACCTACTATATAGCTCAAGATGGCCTGGAACTCACAGCAGTCCTCCTGCTTCAGCCTTCCAAAATCCCAAGTGCTGAGATTACAGGCACGTGCCACCACACCAGGCTAAAAAGTTACTTTTGTTAATGAGATGTGCTACTATTCCAACCTCTGCCACTCCTTTCCCTTCATGCAGGGGGGAGTGATGCCAGTTATGCCTCTGAATACATATAAGGTGTTAGGCATGTTATTTTTACTGAAACACAAGAGTGTACATGGTTGAGATGTAGATTTATGTCTCGCGTTATTTCAGCCTTTGTCTTAATATACAGGAGCGAAGTTAGAACTTGGAAGGTTCTCACACATTTTCAATAGTGTTTCTGAGTTTGAAAGTTGAACGTATGTGCTAACAGCAATTCTTGGATTGGAGTTGAGCTTGATAAAATAGATGTTTTGGTAGGAAGTTATGACATAGACTGCTCAGTGATGACAGTAGACCCCTTTCTGAGCAATGAAGTAGTACTTTTTGCTCTCAACATTTGAGTGGAAGGAGGGTAGCCTATATTTGAGGTAAAAGGTGACAGTTAGCCTTAGGGAACTTTGGCAGAGTTACAATTGAAAAAAAATTTTAGGGGCTTCTGTTTTTGTAGGAGTTTATTAAAACCTTTTTTTTTTTTTGGTCTCTTTTGAGACAGGGTCTTGCTATGCAGTTCAGGATGGCCTTGAACTAACTTTGTAGCCCAAACTGGCTTCTAACTTGCAGCCATCCTACTGCCTCAGCCTCCCAAGTGCTGGGATTACAGCCATGCACCACCACACCCCCCTTTTAAAGCTAACCTTTTTTTTTTTTTTTTTTTTTGGAACAGGGTCTCCTGTGCAGTTCAGGCTGGCTTTGAGCTCACTTTGTAGCGCAGGCTAGTCTCGAACTTGCAGTGATCCTCCTCCCTCAGCCTTCTGAGTGCTGGGATCACAGGCGTGTGCCACCATGCCTGGCCAAAACTAGTCTTGATAGAGGATTCTGTCCTGTTTGTAAAGACTTTCAGAGGTTTTGCAGGAAATTTCTCAGCAGTGAGTTGCATTATTCAGTGGGTTTAATCACCAAGAATTTTTTCCTGTGGCTCTAATATCTGATTTTTGTTTCCAATGAAGGGAAACAGTCATGGGGGATTTAATATAGTAGTTGGGGAAAAGGAGAAGTTTGTTTATAAGACAGAAACAGCAGGAGTATCCAGAATGGCCACCATGTGCCGCTTCAGGTTTGACAGGGCCTGATGAGACATCTTGAAGGCCTCAAGGCTTTGTAGAAAAATGTCGCAACTACAGTACTTCCAAGCTTTTGGATAAGATTTTTGTGTCAGATGCCTTTGTTCAAGGAGAAAGAACATTTTATTTTTATTAGCTAGATCAGAAAGATTGCAGTTGTTTGTTGTACTCAGGAATTCTCTTTAATAAGAATATTTTAAATGAGAATAGATAACACTGTTCTTAGGGTAGTATCTTAAAACTTGGATGTTCAGAGAGGGCATACTGCCCACTTTTTAGGGTGGGTCCAGGTGCCCTAGAAGCTTGTAGTGCTCTGAGCAAGAGAATTAATTGGTTGATTCAATTAGATTCAGCTTTTGAAAGAAAGTAGTGTTTATTGGTAGAATGGGCAATTGAGAGGGATGGGTAGAGACAGTGTTTGCATGCGGAGTGGGTGTGCCTTGCTTGATTAAATAAATGGTTTGAGGTCTTAAAAGTCAGTTGCCTTCTGAACAGTTTCTAAGGCTTCTATAATATAATTTGCAACTTGTGATGATTAAGAAAACCCTTTGCTCTTGATCTATTTCATCTCAGAAAATTTAGTTTCTGTCTGAGACTATTTTCAAGACTATTACGAAGTTTGAGGCAGCTATTTTTTCCTTTTCTCTTAAAATAATTTTTATCCTTGATTGTAGAAGCAATACATATGTACTGTAGGGTCTTAAAACATTGTGATAATCCTTATATTAGGTGGGGGTTTGTTTTTTTAAATTAACTGGTACATAAAAATATAAAAATTGTACATATTAGTGGAGTACTATGTAATGCTTAAATCAGGCTACACATATCTGTCTCCTCCAACATTTATAATTTCTTCATGGTGATAATTTTCAAAATCCTTTCTTCTAGCTTTCTGAAATATGCAGTAATTATTGTTATTATAATATAGTCATCCTACTGTTTAGTGGCCACCAAAACCTCTTGCTCCTAGCTTAACTGTACTTTAGCATCCATTGATAAAGCTTTCTCTGTTGCCTCTCCCTCCCCAGCCTCTGGTATAACCACCGCTTTACTCTCAACTTCTGTGAGATCCGTTTTTTTAGATTTCACATGTAAATGAGATCAGGGGGCTGGGGATATAGCTCAGCAGCATAAGTGTCTGCCTGGCAAGCACAAGGTCCTGAGTTCAATTCCCAGTACCTAAAGAAAAACAAAAACAAAAAAAGAGTAATTTTAGCTGCCAAAACTGAAGTACCCGGCTCCCACTGGCCATCTCATCCATTGGGGGTATAGCTCATTGGCATAGCGCTTGCCTGGCAAGTGCAAGGTCCTGAGTTCGATTCCCACTACCAAAAAAAAGAGATCATATGGAGTTTGTCTTTCTGTACCTAACTTATTTAATTTAACATAATGATCCATAGTATTCTATTATATATATGTACCAGGAGGATTCATTTTTTAATGTGGTCTTTGTAAATCAGTCATCTTTCTTGTTTTTGTTTTTTGAGACATGGTGTCACTTTGTAGTTCAGGCTGGCCTTGAACTCACGATGTTCCTCCTTTCTCAGCCATCCAAGTGCTTGGATTATAGACCGATGCCACCATTGCC